CCCCACCCTGCTCCCTCCTCGCCCCCGGAGAAGGGGGTCCCCTAAGCTTTTCTCGCCCCATGGTGGATTTGGACACGGGAAGGTGACTTGGGGAAGGAAGGGGACCGTGCCGGGTCGAGGGCAACCATGAATGAGATGTCAAGTTTCCTGCACATCGGGGACATCGTCTCCCTGTACGCCGAAGGCTCCGTCAATGGCTTCATCAGCACTTTGGGGTGAGTGAGACCCTCCCGGGGCCGCCCCCCAGCCAGCCCGGTCCCAGGGACAGCGGGGTGGGACGGGAGGATGGTGCTGAGCCCGACGCCGGTGGGAAAAGGGGCCGGAAAGTCAGGGTGCTGGTGCGGGGCCGGGCGCAGGTGCTGGGGAGGTGAAGCTGGGGCCTCTGGTGGCTGCCGGGGGCAGGATGTGGCCCTGCAGGGACCCTGGAGCTCACCCTCTCTGGCAGCCGTGGCCAGGAACTGTTTCCACCCCAATTAGGGGCTGGGGGAGACAAAACGGGCTTAAGCAGCGAGAGGGGTTGGTGGGATGGGGAAGGGGCTGTGTGTGGGGCTGAGCGGGACGGGTCACCCTCCCGGGGGGTGTAAGTGCTTCCAGCCCTCCCCAGTGCAGCTGGAGGCTGCCGTCCCCCTGGGACAGGTAGTGGTGGCTCTCGCTGTCCCCTCTCGGGGTCCCACACGGCCAGTGGGCAGTGGGAATCACTGCGGGGCCACCAATATGCGGGTCCCCATGGCCACCGAGTGCTGCTCAGGGCTGGGGGGACCAGGGCACTGCCAGGTCCAGGCTGAGCCGACTCCGTGCAGCCCCCTGGACGTGTCAGCAGGGGTGAGGGGATCTTGGGGCCCGTCCTGGGAAGATGAGCAGGGAATCCAGGGACCTGTCCCTTTGTCCCCGCTGTTCCCGTGCAGGCCAATGGTGCTAATGGAGCGCCCAGACAAAGCCAGGCCAAAGCCAGGTGTCCCTACCCATGGCAGGGGGTCAGAACAAGATGATCTTTAAGGTCCCTTCCAACCTAAACCATTGGATGATTCTAAGACTTCAGAGATGCCCTTCTCCACCCCCTTGTTCCTGGCAGGAGTGGGTTTGCCCCGTGGCACCGGGAGGGCTCTGGCGGGGCTGCCGGATGCCCCTGAGCACGGGTGGGTTTTTTTCCTTACCCCGAAGCGGGGACCCAAACCTTGCCCTCAGCCCCGGGTGGATGTGGGTCTGCGCCAGCACGCCTGCCCCATGCTGCTTGTAGGAGAGGCTGAGCTCAGCCAGGAATGCTGACTTGGATGGGATTCCTGGGGCAGGAGCTGCCCGGCTCTATAATCTGCGATGAATGCACTTGCTCCCACATGCCTGTGTACAACCGGAGCCGTACGTACCTTCGCCTACGCGTGTTCGCGCGCCCACTGCTGGGCACGGGCAGCCGCTGGGTTAATGCCCACCAAAGCCTTCCTCCGGTCGGCTGAGGGATGCTGCTCACAAATGGGCTGCTGGGTGCAAGTGGGTGCAAGACCCGGGCACAAAATCCCTGTCCCTGCAACCACACGGTGTCGGGCAGAAGGTCCTGCATGTGCGGGATGCAGCCTGGCTGTGGGAGGACATCCCCAGGGTCCTTTTTTGGAGAGGTCTCTTGGTATCTGGCCTGCTCTCCCGGTGCCAGAGCCGTCCCGAGGCAGGGGCTGCAGCCCTGGCTGTGAAATCGGGTCCGGAGGGGTCTCTGCTGGGACCTGACACTGGTTTTTAACCCCCACAGCATGTCCCAATGCCACACAGGAGCTGAATTAAGAGATTTAGACTCTTTGGAGCCCCAATCCCTTCACAAATCTGGATCCCAGCCTCCCCCTTTTTGCAGGGGGCTTCTCTAGACTTACTTATAAGCGTCTGAAAAGCAGGGCTTGCTTGGAGACCCTCTTCTCCCAGACCCCACCATGGCTTTTGCCAGGCAGCCTCCCTTCCCCGCGTTCTGCTTGCTCCAGGTTGTTTCCCGCCCTCTGAAATTGTTTTTCCTTGTGCCCCACGAGCTGGGAGACCCAACCACACCTTAAATCACTCCTGCGATAAGGGGCTGGGTGACTCACCGAGAGTGCTTCTCCCTAGCCCTCCTGCCACAGCTTGGGACCCTATTTGGCTCATTTGCAAGGCAAATAGCTCTGCCAGCCCCACGCTGGGTGCTGAGCACCCTGCCGGAAAGCACTGCCCCCATCCTTCCTCCCAGAGGGACTGGGTTTGGCTGTGGGATCGCTGAGGGTCCGCAGTGGGATCCTCTGTTCGTATGGGATGGTGTGGAGTGTCTCCAGGTGCTGGTCACAAGTGTCACATTAAGGGATGTAGCCCAATGTGCTGGTGCTTGTGACACCCCCGTGCCAGCGTCCTGGCAGGGTAGGGAGCTCCTCCTGAGCAGAAGAGGTCTCTGGGGTGTCCTGGGTGATGCAGGTGTGAATGTCAACTGAACCCCAGCTGGGCAGTGCTGTGGGACACGGGGCTCTGTCCGTCTCCGTGCGGGATGCGGCGCTGGGGGAGGCCCAGAGGAGTTTGGAGCTGCTTGTACCGAGCATCTCTGCAGCTGTGTCTGTGTCAGAGAGGCTGAGGAAAGGGGGAAAGGGGTCTGAGGAGAGCAGGGGGAAAGAAGTGGGGTGTGCGCTGGGGCTGCTGCCTCCTGCCCGGCTCTGCTGCTGCTCCTGCTCTGCCTTAAACCCGTTAACCCCAGTGCTTCGTCACTGGTGGGGTCTGGCCCAGAAGCAGTGGGTCTGGGAGCCCAGCCGCCCCCGTGCCAGGGTGAAGCCCTGCCCTGGGCTGTGGGGAAACGGGAAGAGAAGGGGTTTGGCCGGGACTGGGCTGGTTGCTCTTGCCACCCTTGCCTTCTGAGGGATGGGTGCCATCGTTTGCAGGAGCCTGCCGGGCTCTTTCTGCCAGGAAAGCAGTTGCTTTCCCTTGAGCCCGGGTGCACGGGGCTACCTGGGGGCTGGACTGGCCACTCACACAGCACTGGGCTTTCTTCTTCGTACGGGTGTCCTCAGGTTTTGGCTGGGCTGGCCCCTAATACGCCATTAATTTCAGAGACAATCTGACAATCTGAAATTGATTGTGAATTCAATCTGAATTCGCAATCACTGAACAGAGAATCGGTTCTGTTTTACCCCAAACCAGGATATCAGGATGCCTTGAAAAGCAGCATGGAAGCAGAATCAGGCCCTTTATTAACACTAACAATCACTGAACAGAAAATCAGTTCTGTTTTACCCCAAATCAGGACATCGGGATGCCTTGAAAAGCAGCACGGAAGCAGAATCAGGCCCTTTATTAACACTAAGTCTCAGTTTATTTCATTTGATTTGATTTTTATAAAGGGCTTTCCTCCTTTTGTACAGCAGACTTGCTGAGGACGAAGGAGTGGATTGGTGGCAGGGGCGGTGGGAGCCCTGCAGCCCCCGGCTGAGCTTCCTCTGCTCCCAGTTCCCCCCCCCAAATGGCACCAGTGAAGGCCCCCGAGCACAAAGCCTTCCTCCCGCACACCCTCTCTGCAGTGGGCGTTTGCTTTTAAGGGAGGAAAAACATCCCGCCGAAGGGTGGGGAGCGATCCTGCGCGCTCGGCGCTGGGCTAGGTGGGGAACAATGAGCCAAAATACCCAAAGTCACTAAAACGCTAAAGGCAGCCCAAAAAGAGGAGGTTACTTAAGAAGTCCCATGGGAAGGCAGGGTGAGAGGTGCCTACAGGAGCAACACGGTCCCTTTGGGGAGGTGAGGGGATGGGATGGGTGTATTGGAGATGCCAGAAGTGGTTTCGGGGGACATGGGAAGGTGCCCAGGAGGAGTTTGTGAGATGCAGGGACCCAGGGGTGGTTTGGTCATCCCTCAGCTCGATTCAAGGCTACTTTCAGCCAGGGGATGGGGAAGGGCTCTGCGGGGCTGCCCGACTTTGCTGCTGCAAATTTAAAGGTGTCTGAGGAGATGGCAGCTTGGGACAGTGTGGGTCAGGGAGGTGGTGGCACTGAGCAGGACATGGCACCCCACTGCGGGGAGCTCGTACGTGCGGCTTTGGGACTCTCACTGGTAACTCCTGGGAGACCTGTGCTTGGGGACGGGGAACTTTTGGGACTGGGTCTGGGATGGGGGGAGCAGCCGCTGATGTGGGGTGCCCTGTGGGGATCACTCAGGCAAAACAAACTGGTGGCCGAGCAAGGAAAGGAGCTCAGAGACCGTGATTTGGTTCCTGCTCCGGCGCGATGGATGGGGTGATGCTGGGAGACACGGCTGTTTGTGAGTGTCCCCATCTTATCTGGTGTCCCTGATAAATCAGCACCAAATAGAACCAGGAGGGAGTAGAAATGCAGAGCAGGTGCCTGGGCTTGCTGGGGGGATGTGCTGCCCCATCTCTGCCATCCCCGTGGGGCTCCCAGACCCGGCCGGGGGCTCGGGGACCAGCACCGTGGGCTTGCAGAGGGGAAGGGCCAGCAGCAAACCTGCCCACACAGCTTTTGGCTGTTTAAGGTGAAATAATGCCTTTGATAGCTGCAATTGTGATTGCAGGTGGATTTGCAGGGTGGAGCAGTTCAGGAGAACCCGGCTGGTTAAAGGGTAACTCCAGCTCTGCCGGGTCAGGACGAACTCGTCTCTGTGGGGAGGAGAAGCACGCGAGGCCACGAGCAGCTTCCTCCTCCTCGCGCTGGGGCGGTGGGAGGAAAAGCTGCATTTTTGTGTCTTCCCTGCATTCACTCACTTTATTTTTTTTGATCCACCCTGCGGGCTCGCTGCCTGTCTTGCACCCTGAGCCAGAGCGGCTGATCCAGCCTTGTGCCCAACAGCGAGCTCTCCTCTTCCTCCTCCTCATCCTCACCTCCAGGTTCAGTGGGCGTTGTGGCCGGGTGTTCCTGCCTGGCTTGGGGCTCCCCATCTCCCAGAGCCCTCCTTCCCCTGCACCCCCAGACCATGGCTTTCCGGAGCTCCCCTCGGCACCGGGAGCCCTGCGGCTGAGGAAGGCTCTCTCCTCCTCCTCCTTCTCCTCCTCCTCCCCAGCCTAGGACCTGGCTGCAGGAGCGATACCTCCACGTCAGCCCCAGCTGCCGCCGGCCCCGGGGGAGGCTCGGGGTGTCCGACCGCAGCGGATCCCAGCCCTGGACGAGCCGCTTTTCCCCTGACCTCCGGCAAAGGCTCTGCCTCGCTCCAGGCCAAGCGCTGGCTGGCCCCGGGCCAGGGAATCACTTTGTGCTCGATTTTAATTTACTTATTTATTTATTTTATTTCAAAAAGCATGCGGAAAAGCCCCACTGGAACCACTGCGATGCCTTGCACGGCTTAAAACTAACCAGATGCTCGCCCGGCTGCGGGCTTCATCCACGAGCGGGATCCGGCCCCTCGTGCTCCCCCGGGGGGTGATTTGCAAAGGGAAAAGGTGAAAATTTTCATGGGTGCGTGCAGCCTGGTGCTTCGCCCGGGATCGGATCTTCCTCCAGGTGCTCAGATGTCGACAGCCCCTTTTTTTTTTTTTCTCATTAACACCTGAGAAATGACAGCTGCCCTCGGGGCACCCCCCGTCCCTGCTGCTCCCGTGGCAGAGGGAGCTCCGTGTCCCCCCTTCCCACTGCGCTGATGTGGGTTATTCGTGGATGCACATCCCGGCCCCAGCAGTCCCCCAGGTGACTCATGTCCACCCTGTCAGAATCCTTTTATTTTCAGTGATTTTTTTTTTTTTTTAACTGAAGAATGTTAGTCTGGAGTATCAGTTTAATAAAAATAACACTTTGCATTCCTGCAGAGTGTGTAATCCCAGGATTAGAGATGCTGAAACTGCCTTGAGAACATTAACTAATTAAGACTTCCAGCTTGGCAGGTCAGTGTCTCTAATCCTGCCTGGCGGAGCGGGAACGCCGGGCACGGGGAAGCGGCAGGCGAGTGGCACTGGCAGAGCTGGGCTGGGTGGGAGGCTCCTGCACGGTTCACTTCTGCACTGAAAATGGGCCAGGCGCTTCCTCGGAGACCCCTGGCCACCATGGGAGAGGGTTTTTATCCTTTTAAAGTGCACAGATGAGTTGAACCCCCCGCACTGGTGGGAGCCGGCCGCGTGCCCAGGGTTGGTGTTTTGCTCCGAGGGTCGGCCAGGGCTCAGCCTTCGGTGGTCCTCGCTCCCAGGCACATCGAGAGTGTTTGTTCTTCCCTGTCCCCCATCAAAATAATAGTTATAGAAACCAAAACCACCCATAAGTGGCATCGAGGCTGGGCTGAGGCTTTGCACATCTCCCCCGAGGTGAGACGAGTGGTGCAGCCCCTCTCCACCCGCTGCTTCTGCTCTGGTTTTTCCCTCTCTTTACCTCTTTCCCTGCCTTCCCGAGGCTCCATGTCCCGCAGGAGTTTGAGAATGTGCCCGACACCTTCCCTGCTGTCAGGGCCCATGGAAAGGCATTGCCTCGGGGCAGCCCCTGCCCAAAACCCCCTGTGCTGCCCACCATGAGTGTTTGCAAAGTCTGGCAAAGAGCCCACCCTGTACTTGCTGAAACCTCCTGGGTTTGTTGGGTTTTTTGTTTGCAATCTTCTAGGTCTTTGCTAATTGTTTTTAAGATTCTGCTGCCACCAAAAGCATTAGGGAAATTGTTTTTTTCTCTTTATTTGAAATCTAAGGTTAATCTCCCCTACCCCTGGGGAGCTTTAAAGAGCGCAGGGAGCTGGTGTCGGGGCAGCGGCAGCGCCGGGTGTCCAGAGCCCCGCGCCAGCCCTCGGCTCCGCTGCCAAGGACACAGCAGCACTGGAGTCCCCGGGGTCCCAATCCATCAGTGCCGAGGCCAAATTCCTCTGCTGAGCTATTGAAAGGAATTTTCCCCTCCTCTGGAGGGCGGCTGGGCTGGGGGAAGGAGGCTGGGTCTGCGGATGGGGATATCTTGTCGCTTTTGCCAGCTCTTTGCAGCGCAGCGTGTCCCTCTCCTGCAAGGCTCTGGCTGTTGGGTTTGCTGGGAGGGTCGAGAGTCCCTTGGGGAGCAGAGGGGGTGGCACAGGCTCCCCTGTGCCCTTTGTCACCATGTCACATATGTGTGCCTGGTTCCTCCAGGCTGCACCGTTCCCCCTGTCCCAGGGACAGAGCTGCCCCCCACGATGGATGCTCCCCCCGGGATGGCGTGGTGGGTGCATTCCTGCATCCCCTCGCTGCCTGAATTCATCCTCCGCAGGTGGGGACACGCTCCTCACTTCCTCGCCCGGGGCAGGAGTGTGGTTTCTCTCCCTGCACGGCTTCCCAGGCGCTGGGAGAAAGCGGGCGAGCGGGTACAGCCTGTCTCGCTGGAGCACCGGGTTCCCCTGAAAGCCTTGTGGGGCCTGTGCAGATGAGATCTGGGTGGCCCCGGCGCCACGAGCCCCTCGGGCGATGCTGGTCCCTCCGTGCTTTCGGGGCTGAGCAGAACCTCATGCTTTGCTGGTTTCGGTAACTTGGAAAAGCAGCGTCCCATCTGATCTGAAACTGGTCCTCAGCACCCAAGGCCAAACCCGCAGGATTTTTGCTCAACGCTGGGAAAACAAAGAGGTGGGCAGGGAGGAGACACACAGCCCTTCGCATCTGATGGGCAGAGCCAGCACATCTGATCAGATAATAATTAATAACTGGGTGAGGGGGGGCTCTGCCACCTCCACCTGGAGCAGCTACACCCTCCGTGTCCTGGTGGGGCGAGCTCCCAGCCGGAGAAGGAGAACCATTGCATGAAAGTTGAATTCATCACATTTTTGCCTGATTAAGCATGAAATAACGCTGCAGCCCGTGCACTGTGCCGGGGTAGGGCTCGGCTCAGCCAGGAGCTGGGCAAGGCAGGATTTGGATGTCAGAACCTCCCTCACTGAGCAAAGGCCCCGGGAGCATGGCTGACACCAGGCACCGTGGTTCTTCCCCGTGGATTTGTATCTCCTGCCCTTTGCCCCAAGGGACCGGGATGAAAAACACACATGAAAGAAAAGGCGGGTGGTGGCAAACCGGGGGCGACGTGTTGGGAGCAAGCACCCAAGAGCGTCTGGTTGCCCCACGAGCCGAGCGTTGTTGTGCTAAAATATTTATAGAGTGCAAACGGGTGGGAAACAGGAGATGCAGCTTTTGATGTTGTTGCTTTGGGGCAGGTGACGGTGCCGCGGCGCTGTGGTTTGTGGCGAAGCCGCTCCGCTCCGCTCGGGCCCCGCTGCCGTCTCCGTGCTGCTGACACCCCGCTCCTGCTTCTGTCCCCGTGCAGGCTGGTGGACGATCGCTGCGTGGTGGAGCCGGCCGCTGGCGACCTGGACAACCCACCCAAGAAGTTTCGAGGTGAGACGAGGGCAGCTCCATCACTGTTGTGAGCAGCCTCGGGGATGATGCTGGCCCCGAGCATCCATTCCAGGGACGGGGACCAGGATCCCAGGCTTCCCAGTTAGCTTCTCCTCCTGGGCTTCCTCATCCCTTCAAGAGGAGCCTGGAGGAATCTCAAACAGCCTCTGTAGACTTGTTTCTGTGGCTTGGCCAAACCACCTACCCTCCTGTGTTTGCCTCTGGGGGCATTTATGCATTTACTGGAACCACCTCCATGGAAGAATAATCCTTGGAACCCCAAAATGTAGCCCTGAGGAGCAGGGGTGGCCAGGAGCCACCCTTTGCAAAGACAGGTCTGACCATCCCCAGATGCATCCGTAGGGATGCCGGCAGCTGGATGTCTATCCACCAGGAGCCAGGAACAGGAGGGGAGAGGCGTAGGGGCGGTTGCAACAGGCAAAGTATTTCAAGGCGAGTCTGTTAACGCTCAGCACTAATTACATCTGCTGCGCTCGGCTGCACCACAGAGACAGCCGGGGGGATTAAGTCGCCCATTTACGAGGCAGGCAGGGCTGAGGGGGTGATGGTAAATCCCCATCTGTCCTCGGCCGGCACGTTTTGGGCTGTGTCGTCTCCTCCGGTGCTCGGGGCTGCGCTCGGTATTTCCCATTTGGGCGAGGGGCAGCCCCGGGCAGGAGCGGGCAAACGTGGCCAGGTCCAGGCGGAAAAGGGGATGAGTCAGTGGAAGCCGGGGCGGCTCCTGGCCCGTGGAAAGGCTTGGGAGAAGCCAGGACAGGCCGCCTGGAAAAGCAGAACGTGCCTCCCGCTTTCCCCGTTTGCAAGCCCTGGGGCCGGCCGGCGAGATGGCCCCGATTTTTGGGGTCCCCAGGGAGCAAAGGGCCAGGCTGAGCCCGGGGAACCAGTCTCTGCCCTCGCTGCACCCGGGAAATGGTGGTTTTGCCCCGTGTGCTCGGCACGATGCAAACAGGGGAAGGGCTGTATCCCAAAGAGTGTCCCGGTGGGGTTTGAGCGCCCAGAAGGGAGAGCTGGGGAGTGTACGTGGAGCTGTGCATACACTGAGAAAATACCCCAAACCAGTGATTGCGTTACAGGATTTGGGGCTTGGTTTGGGGCAGCTGTTTCTTTCATCCCAGCTACTCTAATTTCAGGTCCCCTTTAAAAAAATCATCTAAAATATTGATTCCCCACTCTGCTTCGTGCCTCCATCTCTTTCTCAGGGTGGCTCTAACACCCTGCAGTGGGTGCCGTGCAGACACCCTTCCCCATGGAGATCCCACTAGGCAGGGTTAGGGTTAATTAGCCCCACCTGCCTCTCAGTGGGACCTGTTGCCACTCATTTGTACATGGGGCTAATTAACGAGACATCCAACAGCTCCCTAGAGTCCCACAGCCCTGCAGAGCCCACGGAGCCGTCCCGGCCATCGGCAGACTTTCACCTGGGGTTGGATGGGAAGAGCCATGGGGTGGGCAGTGCAAGGCTCGTCCCAGCAGCCACACCGTCCCCTGCCTGGCCCGGGCGGGTGTTGAATCTCTTTTCCAGGCGAAGGTCTGGTCTAGACTCAGCCCCGCTCCCTGCAAACCCTATCAGGATATCCAGGCGCTTGTTTTAATGGCCGGAAAAGTAGCGCTCTGCCTTCTCGATAGCCATCACCGCCGGGGAGGTAAAAACAAGGGGCTGCTGCTCTTTGCTTGCGGCAGCAGCGAGAGCCTTAAGAGGATTTTCATGTGCTGTTGCCGTCCCCGTATCCTGTGGCCGGACCCTGCCCCATCCTGCGCTGCCGTGAGGAGCAGACGGGTCGCTCCGGGGCCCGGCTCGGCTTCCCAGTGGGAAAACGGGACCCTTCTCCTGCGCTCAGGCCCAAATGGGTATTTTTTTAGAAATGCCAAAGCCACCCAGGAGCCTGTCCCTGCGGCGAGGGGACACCCAGCTTGGCCACCCTGTGTCACACCAGGGCTCTGCCGCCTGGCACCGCTCCGTTATTTGCTTTTCTTTGCGGTCTCTCCCCCGCAAGGCTCTTCCCAGCATTCAGGCACATCAGGAAAAAAAAAAAAAAAAGCAAATACAGTGCTTCAGTCCTGTGCTGGGCAGCGCTGACGTGGGAGCTTTCCTCGGCTTCCCTCTTTTTCCGCCCACCAGCCGTCCTGCAAAAAATCATCCGGTGCTTAGACCCGGGTGCCAAAACCTCCGGCTTCCAAAAATCCTTTGCTGGAGACTTTCTGTGTGCAAAAGACTCCGTGCCTCAGTTTCCCTCCTTGCACAACAAGGCTTAGAGCTGGGACAGGGATGTCAGGGCGTGCGTGGAGCCGGGGGTTTGATTTGCACCTATCTCTTAATTGCTGTGTAGGTTTTGTTTGAACATCCCCCCCCACCCAGCGATTTCTACTTTATACCAGATCCTTTTGCAATCCGATTAGCAATTTAATGAAAACGATGTAAGGTGCTGCAGGTGGCCCCGGGTGTTCCTGTGGCCCTGCTGGGAGGCGGTGGGAGAAGGCAGCCAGGCGTTGCAGCACCCAGCTGCCCCCTCCCCGCTGGAAAGCCCGGCGTCTTGGCCTCCTTGGCACGGGCTGTGCCAGGAGCAACCAGCCCTGTACGGCCAAACGTGAAACTTGGCCTCTCCCCAGCAGCCCAAGCCGGTGAGAACCCTGCTCTGCGCTTGTTTGTTCGTCACTCCCAGGTAAATAAATAGGTGCTGCCAGCCGCTGGGACTGGCGCCAGAGATGGAAGTGATTTTTTTAATTTTTTTTTTCATGTGTGTCTCTTAAGTTTCTGGGCTGCTATTTCAGGCGTGATTAGGGCGATCCGGGCTGCAGAGCCCTTCCTGCCCTCGCCCCGTCCAGCTTCCAGCCCCCAGTGAGGGTTTGGGAGATGGAAGTGCCTCCTGGTCTCCAGACATCTGCTCTCCTGCTTCAGCTCCCAAACCCTGGATCTGGGTGTCTGCACTTCCCACCCCCCATCCCGGGATAAAACAGGCAAATCTGGGCAATCTGCAGAGTGTGGAGCCGCTGCAAGTGTTTGGGGGAGCTGGGCTGCAAACTGGGCACTCCAGGTCCTTGAAATGTTTCTTAGAGGACTTGAAAGGAGCTGTTGACGTACAGATTTTAGGAGTGCTTCTGCTCATCGCTTCCAGCTGGGAACTGCAGCTTCCCGTGAGCAGTCCCAGGAGAACAGCAGTGTGTTTGAAAAACCAGTGTGTTTGAAAAACCAGTGTATGCCGATGGCACAGCCACCTGTGGTCCTGCTGGTCCGGGGTGTCGGATGGGCAGGGTAACACGGAGACGTGGAGATGTCTGCTCGTGTCCCGGTCTCACGGCGGCCGTGTCCTGCTGGCTGCTCTCCCTCCCAGCAGGATCCTCTCCTCTGGTGCAGCTGGGTCTCATCAGTACTTTTCCTTCCCAAATTGCACGGCCATTTCCAATGGGAACACTTCTAACCTCGAGTCCAAGAAGTGGAGTCACTCCTGGACTCATTATTTGCCCTGATTTGAAACTAATCCACCGGCTAATGCAAGGTGACCTGACACTCCACCAGTCCCGGCCAGGTCTCCTTTGGACCCCCAGCAGCAGATGGAGTTGATGTGGGTCAGGAGGACCATGTCCCAGTGATGCTGCTGGGAGGGGAGCAGTGTCCTGGAGGAGCGCTCGCTCCTGCCCCGCAGTGACGTTGGTCCTGGTGCCCACGTGGCTGCCACAACCTCACGCTTGCCTTCCTCTCCTCCCAGACTGCCTCTTCAAAGTATGTCCCATGAACCGCTACTCGGCCCAGAAGCAGTACTGGAAGGCCAAGCAAACCAAGCAGGACAAGGAGAAGATCGCAGATGTGGTGCTGCTGCAGAAACTCCAGGTGAGTGGGACTCTCTGGGGCAGGGAGCGGGTGTGCGTGACCATCGTCCCCAAGGTGGACAGTCCCCATGGGTAGGTTGGGTGATGATGCCCGAACCTCTCACTCTGCACATCCTGGTTTGTTTTGCTTCCCAGAAAACAGCCTGTGTGCTGGATTTTGCTGTCCTCAGGGTGTCCCTCTGCTCAGCTCTGTTTTCTTCTGACCCACTGCCCTCCCCTCACCATGGACCATTAGCCACAGCCACCTTTTCTAGAGGAACAGCTCCTGTAGCCCTCAGCTGTTAATTAGTCATAGCATATGGTGTCTAATAAAGGGGTTGAGGTAGGTCCATAAGGTGCTTTGCGCTGGCACCTGCAGGACTGAGGCTTGTGGTCCATGGATGGACTGGTCCCCAGGGATGGGTGCTGCACCCTGGGTTACCCTTCTTAGGAGGTGCTCTTCTCTGGCCTCTGGCAATCGAACCTTGGATCCTGCCACAAGCTCCTGATGGAGCTCCCATGCCGTGCCAGCACGTGTGCCCTCGGTGCAGCGGGGAGCCCACGCTGTGACAGTGCAGGATGAATACACCAGTGACCAAAGAGATGGTTTTGTTGGTCCCAGTGCAAGGGAGATGTCCCAGGGAAGACCTGCAGGGACGGATACTGGGGGGCTGAGCAGGTGGGGAGAGGAAGGGAGTGCTGCAGTGCTGCTTTTGGGATGAGGGGTGATGTCCACTTGCCTTGCCACCCTGTGCCCAGCCGTTGCTGTCTCAGCCCTGCTGATGCTCCTTGTGCAGAGGAGCCCATGGCAGAGCAGGGAGAGGTGCTGTGCCAGCCCCGCACCCCCTGCAGCACCCAGGGGTGCCTGGCGCGGGGGAGGGAGCCCGGACCTGCTCCAAAGGGCTGTGGAAGAGAAAGGCTCCTGTTGACTTCCATGAGGTTTGGAACCAGCCCATGTTAAACATTGCATAATCGCCTCAGACAGCTGGCGGGGCCCCCAGGATGATTCATAAAACCGAAGCTCAGGAGGGATTCATTAAATCATCTCATCAGGCTTCAAGCCCAGCCCCACAGATCCCCCCCCCCCCCCCCCC